TGCAGATACTCTGTGTCTCTGCACAGACTCCTAAATCTACAAGCAACTAGACTTTGAAAACCAGGGGAAGTTGTACACCTTTTCTTTTATAGCCAGCATGTTCAGTGGCTATTCCTTCGCTGCCCACTGTCTTCTGCAGAAATGATTAATGAGTCAATACAGCAAGAGTTGTAAATAGAAACCATGTGAAGACAATAGGAAACTTGCCTGTGATGTCTTAAAAATTTGTCATCTGCACCCCATACAAGTAGTGTGTTTTTGAAATTTCATATGAAAAAAGAGGAAGTGCCCTAGTAGTTAGGGTTCTTTGCTTGGCCATAGAATATTGAGGTTCACATCCCTTTTTTGCCCAGTTCTTTGCAGACCAGATATGCAGTTCTTGCACACCCTACACTAGTGACTTTCCAACTTGTCTAAGAATCAGTCCTTGTCTAGCTTTGCTCTAATTATCATATATGTAATTATAAAAATGGAACAAATCTAACAGGAATAATTGATAATTAAATGAACTGTCATTTTTAAACAACAGAAATTGTCTAAGAACTTGGTCAGATACAAATAAAGAGAATAAGTGAAGCAGTTTTAGAGGAGAGGGAAAATTAGCACAGTATCTCATACTTCATGAAGGATAACTAAATTTGCATAAAACCTTCTCAAAGCATATGGAAATAGCAGGTCCATTTTCACACATTGCCTTTAAAAGATACCATATTCTCCTCTCATTTCAGTTTTATAAATAGGTTTGGACAGTCTTGTTGCTGTGTCTTAGTACACCAGCAAAGTGAAGTAAGAAGTACAGTGGCTGCCTGTTCCAGCATCTCAAGCAAGATACATCGTAGGGAAAAAAACATGCTTTTGCCTGGCCACTTGAGACTCATGCTATGTGCAGTCACAGCTGTGCTGGTTGCAAGCAACACTACTGCAAAAGCTGTGTGGCAGACATGGCTTTTCGTACTGTTGCCTCATTATTTGGCTTACAGGGAGTGAAACAGTTAAAAAGGGAAAGTTGGTCTTTCATAAAAGCAAGGAAAAACATCTTTGAAACAAGAAGGCATATTTGCCATGACTGTGTGGTTGTATTGTTTTTGAGAGCCACGCTGCACTGTCACATGATGGAGCACGTTTGACTGAGGAGGTGCAGGAGAGCTGCATTACCAGAGGGCTCGGGAACACCCTCACAGCCAGTGTCTTTCTCCCCCAGGAGTACGAGTTCACGGTGCTGCCCAACGCCTACATGATCCACATGCCACACGCCCCCAGCTTCGACATCACCAAGTTTCGCTCCAACAAGCAATACCGCATCTGTCTCAAGACCCTGAAGGAGGAGTTCCAGCAGGACATGTCACGCCACTATGGCTTCGCAGCCCTCAAGTATCTCACGGCAGAGAACAACAGCTAGCACAGCAGGGCCAGCGAGCGGGAAACGGGGACACCGGAAGGAGGAGCCGCGCAAAGTTCGAGGCCCAGTCTTCAAACTTTGAACTGAATTTCTGGTTTTATATCATACCCGGCAGTTCTAACAGTAGAAATTTGAAGTGACGTGTCTTCGGACTATGCTCATTCGTCCCTTCCCTACTACCCCAGGCCTTTCAGCTTTAGCATCGGTGAGGTGTCAGCGGGAGGAGCCGGCTGCACGCCCGCCGTGCTGCCGGAGGTGGGGACTGGGCAGGGGCTGGGAATGCACTTTGCTCTCCAAACTACAGAGCAAAGACAGACCTTCAGAATATAGGATTTCATGTTGCTATTTAATAATTTGACATGCTTTTTATCTGTAAAGGAAGATCTTCGGGTCGCTGTCCTGTGAATTTCAAATCTGCACTACTCTTAAAGGGAACTGTCACCTGTGAGCTTTCACAGGGGCCCTGTTAACATGGATGACCTTGTTAATGCAGGATGAGCCAAAGGTCTGAATTAGCCTTGAAAACAAAGGGGACGCTCATACTATACTGCACTCCAGAGAAGGTGTGTTAATGGTTTAGGTGTCTTTTATTCTCAAAATAGTTGTTTTATCAGGAAAATCCCCCGTACCCCTCCCTGCCTTTTCCCCAGTCCTAAATGCTGCTCCTTTCCTTGCCAAGGAAATGTCTCCCTTGTGTTTCTTTCCCATCAACAGTTTTGGTGGTCCAGTAAAGAAGATGAGTAGTTCTGCCAGAAAGTGAACAAAACTTGTCAGTGTAAGGTCTGTTTTCATCAGAGCAACTTGTTCGTGTGTGTCTCGTAAAATAAAGGGCCTGGCTGTAACTCTTTATCTTTTTTAGGCAAGAATTGGACACGTTGTGGAGGGGGATATTGATTTGTAGGCTCATTTCAGTGCATGCCCATCCATGAGGGCATTGAGCCTTGGGCTTTAAGTGGACTTCTTTGCTGAACAGGAATATTAAACATGGCACATAGTAGCCTTGGTGCTCTCCTGCTGCCTGCTGCAAGGTCTCAGAACTACTTCGTTAAAGGAGTTTATAATTAAAAGGAGAAGAACTGTTAGGAATAAACTCCCTATTCGAGGGGGAGAAAAGAATGTGTTGGAATCTGAGTGTGAGTGTTTGCTTGAACATGGGCTGGTCAAGTTCACGACTTCGGTACCCACAGGAGTATGCTGGAGGGCGGACAGAAATCTGACAAGCAAACTGCAGAAAACAAGACACTGGACTTTTTACCATTTTCTTTATTCTTCAGTATTAATGTTGTGTTTACATGGGATGAAGAGATGAGATTTAATGCACTACCCCTTGCAGGGCTATTTGTAATTTCTGTTGCAATGTTAATAGAGAAAGCAGAAACAACTCAGTGAGAAATGTGTCTGTCTCCCTACCCCAGATCCCCATACAACACATACCAATACCTGAGTCAGAGAATGGATCTTCTGCTCACTATTTTTCCATATTGTTTTCCAACCACTGAGCCTTCTACTTTTCTCCCCACCTCATCCCCCAAGAGCTTGATTTTATTTCTAACCTGACATTTCATGAGAGCTTTTTGTTATGGTGGAAACCACGCAGTTAAACCAGACATTTAAACTACAAATATCAGTCATCATGCTGTGTATATAAGAAAAGCCAAAAAAGGCAACATCTGACAAGAAATAAAAAGGGGCAGGAGGCTATGTGTAATTTTTACTTTTTCCCCTGGGAGTATTGGCTTCATAAGAATACATCACTGCATAATTTTCCAAAGTGTTTTTCTTCTGTTTTTAATGGCTTTATGTAAAGGTTTACATAAGAAGCTGGGAAGAGCTGGGAATAAATGGAATGAGTGCTCAGTCCTAGCTAAGATATATTTTTAAAAAAATAAATAAATAAATCTGAACTCCCCAAGCCCCGTATTACCCATATTATTAGGTTAGAGATCAGGCGTAAATTCTTCAGTTTAAGGGTGTTGAGACACTGGAACAGGCTGCACAGAGATGTTGTGGGGGCTCCATCCCTGGAGGTGTTCAAGGGCAGGTTGCATGGGGCTCTGAGCAGCCTGTTCCAAGTGGAAGGTGTCCCTGCTCATGCAGGGGAGTTGGAACTTGATGATCTTTAAGGTCCCTTCCAACTCAAAAATTCTGTGATTCTCTGATGCTCACCATTAAGGGCCCACAACATGTTGCAAAGGGCCCCCCATGTGCATGTTGCAAATGAGAAGAACCCTGCAGAACAGAGTCCTATTGATGAGCTAACGTGCACGAATGGTATCAAAAGCTGATCCCAAGGGAAGTTAACACTTGTTGTACCTACATAAAACCTCCAGTAAGATCTTCAAGGTGTCCACCATTGTGTTTCATATGTATTAAAAACTTTGATTTCCAGATGTGCATTTCTGCTTGGCTTAACAACATTCCCAAGGATGGACTGGATTGTGCTACAGCAGCATAACCTCTAGCATGCACTTGTGCATTGTTCAGATGTGCCATTATCAACATGAACATCATTCTGTCCTTGGTGGTCATGAGATGTGGGTGGAGGAGCAGGGAGGTAATCACTTGCTGCTTGCCTCTCTGTACAGTGAGTCACGGGACCTCCCGGGTAGGTGTGCTGGCTGGAGTAGCCAGCTCCAAGGTTGGTAGTTGGTTCAAAGACACATTCTCCCCCTCCCTTTTTTTTTTTTTTTTTTCTTTCCTTTATGCACTGGCTTATATCTGTTATGTCATGTTTGTCTGTGTGCTTCATCATTTGGGAGGTGTGGGGCTTGGGTTTTTTGAAAACATTTCAGCCAATTTACATGATAGCAAATTAGGATTACATACCTGTCTCTAACTGCCAGGTCTCCTCCAACACTATGAAAATCCACCACCACCACCAAAAATCCCCAACTCAGTTATAACACTGTCTTCCAGTCCTCTGCTGTACTAGGTATTTCCTAGCAACTTTGTTACTTCTCAGTTCTCCTGAAGTCTTCAAGAAATATCAGATAAACCATGGTGACTCGATGCCCTTGATTTCTTGATTTGTTCTACCAACTTCTCTCTTGAGTCTGCAGTCTGTGACCTCTCCTTATCTTCGATATTTGGAAAGTGTGACTCTCATTTAGGTAACACAACAGCACCCTCTCTGGTGAAGACTGATGCAAATAAATAATTTAGATTCTTGACAATGTCCTTATTGTCTTTAGTTGTTTTTTCTGCTTATTGTTTGGAGTGTCCTACTGGTTATCTCCGGTTTTCTGCTTTTGGTGTACTGAGCAAACATCTGTTTTCAGTTTTAACTTCCTACTGTTTGCACTTCAAATTCCCTCTCAGCTTGCTTAAAGTCCATCTTAGCTATTACATACCTTCCTTTCAGCTTTACAAAGTTTTGATTTCCATTCTCTGAAGGTTTCCTATTTGGTCTGAATAACTTCTGAAATGTCCAGTAAGCCATACCAGCATTTTCTTGTCCTTGTCTTCCATTTATCTAAGGAAATGCCATACTACATGACTATAAGCCCTTTGCATTTTTAATCTGAGTATTTGTGGTTTTATTTTCTTTTTATTTATGGCCACTGGTTCTTTCTTTAAAAGGAAAAAAAAGAGGGATTGTTTTTAAATTTTTGTATCAAATATCACCCTACTAGGTTTTGAGGATTTATATTTTCCTCTTTAACCTTCCTTAATGCTAACCTTTGCCTAGTCAAGGGATCAGAAATAAAATCCTACAAAATTCTTTTGTTCTTCCAAATTGGGCCCTTATCCAGACATATTTTGTTCTCTTACCTCCCTTTTCCCCTTCTGCTCCAAAATGTTGACACATGTGAGTCACTGCAGACTTTTCAAATGCGTAAGCCCCTTCCAGCTCCAGAGCCTGAACTGTGTATTTCCCAGCACCCTCTGACATCCCACCACATAATTATCAGACATAATTATTATTCCAAATCATAATCTTCTAGCTGTCACTCAATCCTCCTATTTTGTTTTCATGCTTCTTCCCTTAATAGAACAGCCATTGCAAGCTTAAAGTTTGGGCAAAGCACTTGCCTTTATTTAATGCTTTATTGTAACCCTTAATATATTTCCATGATTTCTCTCTGTTGTCACAGTGTATACCTTCAAATGTTTGGCTGTAGCTTCCATTTTATAATTTTCTGGCCAAGATACATCTACCATTGCCTACCTGGCAGACCTAGAAAATGTCTTTGTTTATTCCAAATAGTTCTTAGTATTTATCAGATTTTTTTTCCAAGCCCCACTTTCAGTAATTCCTTCCAGCCTTGCTAGTTTCTTATGTGAGCAATCTGGTTCCACTTAATAATTTGCAATTTTTAGTCTATTTGTAATCATAATCTTGGACTCAGTGACCTAAAGGAATCAGCAGCTGTACCTGCAGCTCCATCAGTTTTGTTAGGCTGAATATCAGATAAGCTTACATTATTCCTAAAGTTCTGATTTTTTTTATCTGGCAGGCTTCATGTGGTTTGTATGTAAATCATAAGCTGCATTTTGCTTTTACTGCAACAAGTGGAGGCACTTTGTAGTGTTACTTGGAGTAGCTGTTGCAGCAGGGTAAGCCCTGTGTTAGTGGAAAAAGCACAAAAACCTTGTCAAAATGGTAGCTGCTGTTTCTCTCCACAGGGGAAAATAAGGCCCTAGCACAGCTGAACAGTTTTATAAATGCCCTGCACAAAACACATTGCACATTATTTTCTGATACATATAATCGTACATCATCCAATTAAATATGAAAAATACATTTTTAATGTTCTCATTCTTACATGCAATTCTATCCAGGAGATAATGTGTTTCCTTCTCTATCTTGCCAGTTTCTCCCATTACTCCAGCCTGCCTAATAGCCCCATCTGTTTTTGGCTGAGAAAGATTAATGACCAGCAGCACTGGGAGTCCTGGCAAATCAGCAGAGATATTACTCTTAGGCATTGCAGAGGACATTCCTTCCTGCACTGCCAGATACTGTCTGGGTGTTCCTCAGGTTTCAGTGCAGCAACAGGAGAACACTGCAGGCTCAACAAGTGGGGCGAGAGCATTGTTATTTATGAACTTCAGCAAGGTCTAATACATTAGATGATGGGAGCGTGAAAAAATGAATGCATCATTGTTAGCTCAAAAAATATTTCAATTCTAGGAGAAGAAAGCAGCTGAATTTTTGCACCTCCAGTTAGTGAGACCGGAACAAGTAATAAGTCATTAGTAGACAATGACAGCCAAGAAACCTAGTATTTCCACTGTACTATTGAAAATGCAGAAGCGTTGATAGCTACATGGAGTCATTTTTACAGAAGTAATTCATAATGTATGTTTAGATGGTTTGTTTGCATCCACACACCTAGGTGAACTGGGGATTGGTTGAAGATTATTACTTTGGTTCCCA